GAGACCAAATGGCAAACGAAAAAAATCGTAATGACAATAATCAATGATATATTAACACCGATAGATCTTATGTATAAACTGATGTTTGTTTTAAATGTCTATGCTCGAAACCGGGGAACCATGTTTACATGATAACGATTGCTTTGTCTTTGTCAGTGTTAAAGAAATATGAATATGAGCGAAGAAGAAAAGGACCTTCGACCCTGATGACAAGATCCCCACAAATTGTATCTTTTCGATATATGTCATGAATCCAATCCATAAGGACCCTAATCGTTATACCATTTTTTAAAGTAAAACAAACAACTTTCTCTACCTGAAATGTTGATGGAGCGTTTTTGAGACCAAATGGCATACGAACAAACTCGTAATGATAAAAATCAATGATATCTTAACACAGATAAAGTCTGTTTTTTTTTTGTAAAGATAAAAGTTAAAATGACAATATGTTGACAATACAATGCAAAATCGATTTGATATAGATAAATCTAATAAAACCGGCAAGTTCTAAATTTATCTATACTTAATTCAACTCACTATAGAGTTTCTAGTTGATAAGATTTTTTGGACAGATGGACAACAAGAATAACTATTCGCCAAAATTTTCCTGCAAAGTATAATAGCGATATTATAACAGTTTTATATTAAGTTTCCAAACAAGAAGAAATATTTGTTCTAGTTGAATTCCTATTCCTTGGCTTAATTAAAAAATAACTCCGAAAGGGGTGATCCGATTTTGATTTAAAAAGGTGATCCAAACACAATGGTATTTTAAATAGGACGTCTTCCTGCTATATTAGCACCTTTATCCCCGGCCTTATCCTGCTTATCTTTTGTTTTGCTCCCGACGGCTTTTGTATTTTGTAAGTCGAGTGCCTGGCTCCTGAGGGTCTGATGGGTCGTGGGGTAAAAGCCCATTTCGAGAACACAGACCTACTATATAACTTTTACCTGAGAGACAATTTTTGAGAAAAATGTCCTATGATATGTGGCTATTATAATAAAAATTGACTAGCAAAAATTATACATTTGTTTGGTATATAAAATCCATACCAAATTATCCAACTGACAACGAAAAAATTAGAGTGTAGGTTCTCTACTCTGTAAAAATGTCACAACTTCAAACGTCATATAGACGTTGAAAAACGCCTTAATAGGAACGTATTGTCCATTATACCTTTTGTGCTATATTTAAATTTGTTTGGTAATTTATTTGCTCTGAAACCTGACTTTTTAAAGTAAACTCTTTTTTTTTTGGTCTGATGTTCCCTATAATAGGTCAACATTTAAATTTAAACGCAGAACAACGGTGCTCAACTATTATTCCTTGCAAAGTGACATCTCTTTTAAATTTCTGCCCTCAAAGGGACGTTGTCAAGGATAAGGGCTCTTGAATTTTGACGTCACAATGTGTAGGTACTAATTTTCTTATAATAATTCTTAAGCTTTTTGATGATGATATAATAATTATTTTGCACAGGTTTTCAACACCTTATAGAATCAATCATGATGTATATGATTACTATATAATAGAATATTAATCACTACTGACTGTGAATAGGTAGTGTAAGTTACATGGCACCTACAGTTAGCGCTTCATGTCCTACTCAAGCGCACTTGTTCATTAGGTGCTTCAGTATGATGTCTATTCCAAGCTCTTGAATTTCTGTTTTGAAGTGAAAACTTCTTTAGAATCGTTGGGAATGATTTGAGACTTGATGAAACGAAAAAGCGACACTAAAAAGAGACAAACATATAAATCTATGGGATTTACCCTGCGAGAGAATGAGATAGAATACAGTTTTATAGCGCTTCCTATTCTTCGTCTCCTCTTTGTACGGTGCTTCGTAGCCTCCCCACTCTTGTATACCAAGCGTTGTATATATGTATGTTAGTATATGTGTGTAATGTATGTAGTTCAATGAAGGTTTCACTTCTACCAGATGTGAACTGCACGCATATTTTTTTTTTGAAGTGAAAACTTCTTTAGAATCGTTGGGAGTGATTTGAGACTTGATGAAACGAAAAAGCGACACTAAAAAGAGACAAACATATAAATCTATAGGATTTACCCTGCGAGAGAATGAGATAGAATACAGTTGTATAGCGCTTCTTATTCTTCGTCTCCTCTTTGTACGGTGCTTCGTAGCCTCCCCACTCTTGTATACCAAGCGTTGTACATATGTATTTTAGTATATCTGTGTAATGTATGTAGTTCAATGACGGTTTTACTTCTACCAAATGTGAACTGCACACGTATTTTTTTTTTTTTTGAAGTGAAAACTTCTTTAGAATCGTTCGGAGTGATTTGAGACTTGATGAAACGAAAAAGCGACACTAAAAAGAGACAAACATATAAATCTATGGGATTTACCCTGCGAGAGAATGAATACAGTTGTATAGCGCTTCTTATTCTTCGTCTCCTCTTTGTGCGGTGCTTCGTAGCCTCCCCACTCTTGTATACCAAGCGTTGTACATATGTATTTTAGTATATCTGTGTAATGTATGTAGTTCAATGAAGGTTTCACTTCTACCGGATGTGAACTGCACACATATTTTTTTTTTTTAATTTGAATATAGGAAATTCAAAAGCCAGTAATATATAAACAATATCTGAATCATGGCCGGCTGTTGAATGTCAGGATTCATATCTCTTGGATTTTTTCAAAATTTATATAATTTACAGCACTCATTAGGTAATGATTGTTTCTTTATGTTCATCTTCATTGAAAATTCCTATAGTAAAATGTCGAAATTTCTGAATCTCCTTGGATCTCCACAAATTTACTTAGGAATCTCCATATTATCTTTAATTGATATCCTAAAATCTATTCCTTGCATACAAAATTTCTTCAAAAAGTATGTCAAAATCTTCTGGATCTTCTCAGATATATCTTTAATTTTCTTGGAGCGCCTCAGTTAATATTCGTTTGTAGTTGTGGAGCTTCTCCAGATATTCTTCCTTTGGAACACTATAAACAATCTCCTAGATTTACTTGAATCTCTTGAGATTTCCTGAAATCACTAATATTTGCGGATATCTCAAAATTTTCTGCTCTTGGTATATACATATCTTCAACAAGTATCCCAAAGTCTTTCCTGGATTTTCTCAGATTTCTTCTCAAATATCTTCTGAATCTCCTTGGATAATCCCCTCAATAAATTGACTTGAATATCTGGGAATCTCCTTAATCTCTTTGGATATCATAAAATCTTTCTTTGGCATACAAAATCTCTTCGAAAAGTATTCCAAAATCTTCCAGGATCTCCTCAGATTTCTCTATAATCTTCTTGGAGCGTCTCAGGAATATTCGAATCTTGTTGGAGCTTCTCTTGATATCTTCGGATATTCTTTCTTTTGAATATCCCATAAATATATTCAAATTTACTTGATTCTCTTTGAATTTCCTTAGATCTCCTCAAATTAAATTGGATTTCTGGGAATCTCCTTAATATCTCTGGCTATTCTGAAACTTTTTTCTGGCAAAATATCTTCGAAAGCTCATATCGTACTAGTAAATATAAATAACTACCTATTGAATGGTTCATGCTTCACTATTTGCCCGGCCCCGGTGGGCCAAATGACCCCCTGTTCGACACTGATGGCCCATTTTTATCTCATCTATTTTTTACCTTAATATGCAATAAGATGTAATATTTAAATCAATTGATGACCACAATGTTACATAAGTTTTACTTATTTTTATTTAATTTTATCTTCAAATTTTTTTCTATAATTAAGTTATAAAGTATAAAGGGTGATTTACGTAGCCCGTGCATTAGCTTGCAGGTGGACTATATGCTATCTCTATTAATTCACCTGCAATCCAATCGAATTCTAATGCACGGACTACGATAATCAAAGTGTATAGTAAAGTTTCGATGCTAATTGCACCTTCCTCAGGTTTTTAATGCGAATATCTAAGCGCGGGTAGGTACAATTTTTTATATAGTAGGAAGGAAATCTAGTAAACTAGTTACATTTACATAATTTTTATGTTGATATAAAAACCTATAATTTACATTACAAATTATTTCATAATAGGTATGTAAGCGCTACTAGGTATTGGGTATGCGGAGTTTATGAGTTGTTTTTTTTTGGTGGGGAAGACGGCTGGCTTATTGTGCTGAATCTTCCTTCTTAATGCACCCATTTTAAAACCCTGGTTCCCTGCAGTAGGCGAAGTAGGTCTGATATAATATTCTCGGCTATTTCGGTTTCTGTTCCGCTCAGTCTGCAGCTCGTGTCTTCGTTGTACAAGCCCATTGTTTGCAAGTGTGCTTGTAGAAAAATCTTGATCCTAACTCTTGCGGAAAGTATAACTTTCCTTTTCGCACTTGTTAGGATAATAATAATTATTTGCACATCTTCAAACCGCAATAGGTGCAATATTGTCAACTCATAAATGTTTACAAGCCCACAGACTATAAAAATAAAATGAATTTGGCGCTTGTACTACAGAAAATTAACTGACTCTGCTGACGGTATTCTAGCAATAATTCTTGTATAAATTACGCACACCGCAATGCAGTCGGGCAGAGGTTAGTCTATACAGACTTAGGATCCTCGAGAGTACGAATGTCATGCTGTAGAAGCTCCACTCAACGCTCCAAAACTAGGCTCTTCGGGGGTACATTTTCATAGGGCTGTTTGGGTACTATTGACAGCAGGGCTTTCCTTAAAAATAGGCATTCCAAGAGAATGTTTAATGATGGTCCACCAGGAAAGAACATTTACTGCGATCTATTTTTGGTAAACCCTACGCTGTCAATAGTACCCAAACAGCTCTATGAAAATGTACCCTCAAGGAGCTTAGTTTCTATAGGTCTAGGTTTGGGGCGTTGAGTGGGGCTTCTACAGCATGACATCACCTTAGGATCTCAGTCGTACTGTAGCAAGTCAACTTGGAGAGAAAGTCTTTAGGCCCACATTAATGAAGACTTCAGATATTAAAGGTAGTTCCTAGAAACTGATACTGGGATAATGATACACAAAAACGCAAAGTGAATAATTTATTGCTGATAATGTGACGTTAAATGTTACAGTTTTGGCACATTTTAATTTTAAACATAGTTGAATAATAAAAGTCTAATGTCATATCAAAGAAGTTCTAGTAATCAATTAGTCTATAGGAATATTAAAAGTATGTATCGCATTCTACAGGTAAAAGTTGAAAAGGATGAACTTTCGTAAAAGAAAATTAAATGCTCTATAAAACCTCAGAAAATGCCTAATTGAGACATTTTATGAGCTACAATCACAGCAAAATTATTATTTTCTATATATTTTTAATATATTCAGTGCAGTACGAACCATCTATTGCTATTTTTTTTTCATTTTTTGAGGTAGTCATCTTCAAGATGCGATACTTTTGGATAAGATCCTGTATAACTTCCATTTGATTGGACACATTTTATATGTGAGTTAGTATTGAGAGATCAGGTAGTCTTTAATGAGATTTTAAATTAATGGGAAAGTAAATTTAATCGGACATCCAGACAAACTTCTATCCTTCCAATAACCAATACATCTTTTTTGGTATATGTTACTTCCTTGAAGAGTTCCTTTGGAAAAGAAACGAAAATATAACATTTTATAAGTACTTAAGTAAAGATACAAACTACTTATATTATTTATAATTTGTAAAAAATATCATATTGAAGAAACTGAGTGCAGTTGGTTTCACAAATAAGTAACATATTTTTCAATAAAGATAGTGCCTGCCTGATCTCATTTGTAAGCAAATTTCCTTTAAATTTTTCTAGTTTATAAGTCTTCAATTAACCTATTTTTGTTCTATATAACACATAAACTGCCAAAAATTTAAACCAAATAATGAATTGGACTAGAAGTTAATGGCAAAATCGAATATAAATTTAATTATTAACATCACAGTCACACCAAGGTGTACTGTTTCGATCACAGAATAATTGTATATTCAATACAGTCACAGGAGCTCCGTTCACTACCAATTCATTGTGAGACGTTATTTTGTAGCTGACATCATGGAGACCGGTTTGACGGTCTCTTTTTCTAGTCACTTCTCTTTGGTTGTGACACTTGATTGTGTCGCGTTTTCTTGTTTTGTCATGAATGTGCCTGGAAAAAATAAAATAAATGAAACAAAATCAACTTTATTGTGAAATCTTCTTAGAATATTCTTCTACAATATAATTTGCAATAGCCAAACTACTTGTAGCAGCAGGGCTAGGAGTAAACTTAACATTTATAATCCGCTCGCCGATTCCTTTAGAATTAAAAATATCGAAAACAAAATCGTTCACAAAAGTACCGTCACGGTTCAAGAGTTGACACTGGACAGCAGTTGGGCCTTTTTCCACTAACTGATAGGAAAAATTAGGTAGCAACTGTTGAAGATCTTTAATCTGCACTTCATTGCACAAAGCTTTACTAGCCTGACTGACGCATTTCGAAAAATTACGTATTACCATATTACGAAATCCGCACGAAGTTATTAGTTTTGACATATAATTAATATTCACTTCTTCGTTGCAATATCCTTCTACTTTCAAGGCAGGCAAAGCGTAAGGTCCCAATAAAATACTGCCATCAAGTTGCGGGCTAAAATGACCTCCTAAAAATGGCAGTTCCAAATCTGGAACTGGATAAATATTGGTTTGCAAATTTTCGCAATATTTTGAATCAATTTTTTGGTAGTCAACTTTCAAAGAAATAAAATACTGATCAGGTGTGCAACCATTTTTTAGTAGCTTGGTTAAGCTGTCTGATTGCAAACCCCCACAACCAATAGCGTATTTCGATTGGATTGTGAGGCCTTCTTGCGAAATTAAATTTAAAGGATATTCGCAATTATCTGATTGGGCGATGCTAACAATTTCAGTGTTTAGTAGTGTCTTGCCACCAGCATCTTGAAAATCTTTCAAAAAATGTTGAGTAATCTCTTTGAAGTCAACATTGGCAGTTTGTGGACACCAAAGAGCTCCACTACCACGACATCCAGGAGCAATTTCTTGGATCTCGCATTGGGATTCTAGTAGTTTGAGGTTTTTGATGCAATTGGCTTCTCCTTGCTGTAGTAACTTCTCCAAAACGCCCACTTCACTACACTCCTTTGCCACAATTAATTTGCCACACTTATTAAATTTGATGTTTTTTTCTTCACAATATTTTTGCAACAAATCAATTCCTTGGACGCAAAATTTAGCCTTTAAACTTTTCGTTGTGTAGTAGACGCCACAGTGCATTACGCCACTGTTGTGGCTGCTCTGGTGTTTCGCCACAGTGCACTCTTTTTCTACAAGCAAAACTTTCTGAGTGGAGTGTTGGAGTTTCAACTTTCTGGCTATCGAAGTGCCTACGATGCCCGCACCAACTACTGCTACATCGCATTGGATATTGCAAGGATTTGTACTTAGATGTCTGTATTTGAAGTAGTTTGATTTTGGTTTGGGGAAACTGTTGATTAATCTGTTGAGGTACATATTTTTTTGTCAGGTTGACAATTTATTGATGTTTCTTTTGACAAGAGGCTTTGTATCAAAGGGAAGTTTCAATTTTTTTTTATGTTGAAATTTTGTGGTTTTAATAATCATTTGGGAGTAAAGCCTTAAATCTTTGATTAATTCAGCCCAATTGCTGACGTGATTTTATTTCTGGAACTATAAGTTCAAATGAGCTGAAATTTTCAATGTATCTTGAAGTTAATGGACAAATGATACACTGGAAGCGATTTTTAGTAGAAGATAGAGGATATAATGTGAAATCTGAAAAAACGGGAAAAACGAAGTAATAACTATTGATAATTGAGACAAGAAACGATTACATTTGACTTTACAATAGAAAAACTATCAGAAATTGACCTCACTACAATAACAGGTGAAGTGCAGGTAAAATAATAAATATGTGTGGTAAAATTAAGTGAATTTCCATATCCTACACATAATTATATTCTACAGTCCTCTACCATAAGAATCGCTGAAAAGTTTAGTTTTCTATAAATAGGTACCCAAGAGAAAAATCCATCAGATTAAAATCAAAGTAAAATAAATTAATAAGTATTTATCTAGGAATCATTTGTCCTACTCCTCTTTCCTCCAAATACCAAACCAATAAACAATAAAAAAAATTCTTATCAATAAACTCAATAAATATTGCCTAACATTATTAAAAACAATACAATTCTCATATTGTGCAACATGCACATAAACCCACAGCAAAAATGACTCATTTCTACCAAGAACAAAGCTTGGTGCATATATAAAGTAAGAGCTTCTGCAATTTATATTCAGTTTAATTTTGAATTAGTGATTCTTGTCTGTGAAACTATATTAGTGTAACAACAACAGTGACAATGGGAGGCAAAAAATCATCATCCAACAAATATCGTAAAGATTGTAAGTGAAAATCAATAATTACCTGAATGTATTAGTCATATTAGTTTGAATATTTTCCGGTCTAGTAATATTCAATTGAGCATCTTTCAATCTCACATAAAACTCGTCATCCTCCAAGCCCCAGCCCCAATATCTATTTGAAAGACCATCTACTAAAGCAAAATGTTCTCTGAAAATATTATTAATAATAATTATTCATTGAAAACTAAATACTTATGTATTTACTCACCTATTAATCAACAATATGCCTCCAATAAACTTTTTATAATGATATCGTGGGTGTAATTCTGGAGCGGCAACGTGAAAAGGTTGTTCAGGATAATAATATTTCAAATTTTTATTTATTGGCAATAAATCTACATCGTGCATGGCAATATAATCGAATTCTTCTTTGGTATACAAATACCCTACGTTTATTAATGAAGCCCTATTAAATCTAAAAGCATCCACTTGATTTAAGACAAAAATCTTATGATTTATGCCTTGTTCTGTGAGAAATTGATGTATATACGGGGCAAATTGTAATAATTCTTCAAAGCGATTTCTAAAAGGAACTAGCACGGCTAATTTGTGATTTGTTAGGAGTCGTTTTACTCTGGGATTTGTTGTTTTGATTCTTAGGATGTCGTTTTTTTCATATTGGCATTGATCTGAAGAATGACTATTGATTATTAGCTAAACTACATACAACTACTTACCATTTGTTAGTAGTTTATAGCTTAGGAAAACGGTAATACAAAACATTAATGTTAAAAGGCCTATCAGGAAGGAATTGAAGGAAAAACAGAGAATTTTTCCTCGTAAAGTTCGCATGGTGAACCATTCAACATTGTCACGAATTTGATTTGAAATACATTTATACTATTTTGATAGTTTGCATAATAATAATTGTTATTATTGTTTAAATATTGCATAAAATTTGTAAAAATGTTTTGTTTATAAATTATTATTGACACTCCTAACCTAACCTCACTTTATCAGTCAACAGTCACACGACACGGAGTAGGAGTGGAGTGGAGTCAGAGCAGTTTTTTTTCACGTGCTCTAGAGTGAAGTAGGAGTTACAATATACCCGAACAACCTGGATCTTTTGAAACAAAAAAACTATTGTAATCTTCTCATTCCAAGCAGTTGATTAAATAATTAATTATTCTCGACTCCGTATAGCCGTACATAGTTACTCTATTTAGGCTAAAAAATCACGCGAACGACCAGAGCGTATACGGAGTACTTAGAGTGAGTGAGCGTGTGTTCCAATTGCTTCAATTTCTATTCCATTTGTACTAACTCTGTTCTGTTTACACTGCTCCGATTGTTACTGTTACTGTTCAAACTACTCTAATATGTCACTCAACGCCAACACGGCCTATAACAATTGGCTGATTTGAAAATTATGGCGATTTGCATTTGCCAATCAGTGCATACTGAGTGTATCCGCATCTTTTTCTAAAAGTATGTATGTACCATGTAAGGATAAGGAAGGATACATTTTTCTTGCACTGGTTCGACAAATAAAAATCGCTATTAATTTTGGGTTATAAGTAAAAAATTATTAGGCAATTCAAACCAAGTGACATTCAAGATGGCGTGGCGGCCACACATGGGCCAAAAAACACAAAAAAAATATCTAGTTTCTGCCCGAATTAATAGTTCAGGTACCTAGTCAACAAATATTTTATTAAACAATGAAAATCAAAGTTGTAAGCAAAACTGTATGCAAAATAATTTAAAATACGCATAAAAACATATTCAAAACAAACTTGCTTGGCCGCCACGCCACATTGAATTTTCCTTCTTGACAGATGGATTGAATTGCCTAATACTCTGACTGTTCCAAGTGCACTGACTCTTTTTGATCTTTTCAACTGTACGAACTCCCTTGACTGTTCTAATTCTGTTCCATTCGCCCTAACACGATTTAAATTACTGTGCATTCCATCTGCATTTTATATTCTATTTAAACTCCTTCTATTGTTCGAGTTACTCTAATTGTTCCAATTGCATTCCTGTTTCATCTGCACTAACTCTGTTCTGTTTGCACTGCTTTGATCATTGCTATCCGAAATACTCTATTATGCTGCTAAACAATAAATTTATTAACTATACAGTAGGTTGATTTGAAAATCAATGTTCGGTTTGTATTAATTCTATTCTGATTGTTCCAAGTACACTAATTTTTTTTAATCTGTTCGGCTCTCCGAACTACTTTTACTATTTTAATTCTGTTCCATCTGCACTAAAACTCTAGAGGACATTCCATCTGCTTTTTTTATTATATTTTATTATATTTTATTTGAATTCCTTTTATTGTTCGAGTTACTGTAAATGCTCCAATTGTTTTTAATTTCTGTTTTATCTGTACTAACTCTGTTCTGTTTACACCACTATGATTGTTACTGTTCGAACTACTCTAATATGCTACTAAACAATGAATTTATTCACCATAAAAGTAGGCTAATTTGAAAATTAATTTTGAGTTTTTACTAATTATACTCTGACTTTTCCAAGTGCACTGAATTTTTTTGATCTGTACAACTGTCCGAACTCCCTTGATTGTTCTAATTCTGTTCCATTTGCACTAAGTCGATTTAAATTACTCATTCCATCTGCATCATTAATTCTATTTGAATTCCTTTTGTTGTTTGAGTTACTCTGTGTTCCAATTGCTTGAATTTCTGTTCCATCTGTGCTAACTCTGTTCTGTTTGCACCGCTCTGATTGTTACTGTTCGAACTACTCTAATATGCTACTATCAATGAATTTATTCACGTCTGGAATAACAGAAGCTCTGCAACTCCAAGATACAAATGCAGGACCTGCAAGTCTGACTTTTCGTGTTACAGAAGCAGAATGCATATGCAGGTCGCCTGCAAATTTGCGTATGGTGAAAGAAACGGTCCCGCAAGTCCTTGCAATCACTTTGACAACTTTGACATTTAAAACTGGTTAATCAGTAGTTGTATTCCTTTCAAACCTAGGAGAAGCTCCGGAACAGCTCCGGGGCTTCACGCGCTTATTCCTTTCGAAAATTGTTTGCCGTACCACGCATCTGTTCAATGCAAATTGGGGGCTACTAAACAGCAGAGCTAGTAGCTCGAGTGTTTCAAACTCTTGAAAGGAATACAACTAGTAGCGCCCAAACACTTTTTTCCGATAAATATGACGAAATTGCAGATTTTTTTTGTAATTTGTTCGTTTCTGCAAATAGAGCACATATGCAAGTCGGCCATATTTGCACGTTTTCAATTAAAAGAGATGGACGATAAAGTATGAAAACATTCAGATTCCCGCCAACATTTGCTTGCTCGTCAATGTCAAGTGTATAGGGTGTTTAGCAATCCCCTGGTTTTTATTCTAATCGGTGACTCCACCGATGAGTTAGGTATCTTTGTTCAGTGAATGGAAAATGACAATGACCGACATAGAATGGTGAAATTTGAAATTGGAAAGAAAATGTGGGAATGTGGATATCTTTGTATACTTGATGGGTCGTGGATTTCCCTTACTTTTGCGAGTATCAGTTCTGATTTTGTGTATCCAAATTTTGACAAATGTAGGATTTGATGAAAACTTATGGAAAGACACGTCCGCCGGTGAATAGGAATTATTTTCACGAAAAGGCACACTACACACAATCAACATTGTTAGGAAAAAACCTTGAAAAAACCGAGGAAATAATAGTTTCCAGTCTCAGACGTATAAAACTCTTGTCAACAAACCATTGTCAATAGCTGTCAATCATTGTTTTCATACTTTTCATACTCTTTTGGCATCTGACAGTCTGACGCCAGAGAGAGAGGCTTCTAAATTGAAAAGGTCAATTATGGGATTTTAGTAATTCTACTCTGACTGTTCCAAGTGCATTGACTCTTTTTGATTTGTTCAACTGTCCGAACTTCCTTGACTGTTCTAGTTCTATTCCATTTGCACTAACACGATTTAAATTACTCTAAGCATTCCATCTGCATTTTATTTTAGGTCTGTTTCTGCAAAAATCACAAACCAGTCGGAGCGAATTTTATTGGTTGAAAACGGTCAGAAAACTAGTTTCAACCAATGAAATTCATTCTGGCTGGTTTGTGATTTCTGCAGAAACAAACCTATTGTATTTGAATTCCTTTTATTGTTCGAGCTACTCTAAGTATTCCAATTGCTTTATTTTCCATCTGCACTAACTCTGCTCTGTTTGCACTGCTCTGACTCTTACTATTCCGCTCTTGAACCGCTCGACATAAGCTGCACTGGAACGCTCTCGTGTGTTGAGTGGTAGTAGCTTGAAACGCCTGAACGATTTTATCTATTTGTTTATCAATAGTTCTTTGTAGCCCTCCAATACTCAAATTACTTAAAATGTAGAATAGAACAGGTTATTGAATATTTAACAATAAGAACCACCATTTCGGACTTTAGGAGCACGAAACACCAAAATAAAGGTTTGTGCACGAGGGGGCAAGGGATAATAGCAGAAATGAGTAATTCAAGTGTACCTACGACACTCTAAGCACTGGAATGCGCGAAGTAATGGTGGAGCACTTCGACATTATGTTGGCAATACAATGTAAAATTGTCAATGCTTTCAAATTTTTTATGTAGAAAAGGCTTGTGTTGCCAACATAGTCACTAAATTTTTGATTTGGGGAATTATCTTTAAATAAAAAACAAACTTTAGGTTCATTTAAAAATTAATTTTGGATTATTATTGTAGTAATTCTACTCTGTTTGTTCTATGTGCACTGACTCTTTTTGATCTATTCAACTGGGCCGAATTCAGAAATAACGCACTCATAGTGGGTGTGTCATTCTTGAACTCGCCCTGTTTGAACTACCTTGATTGTTCTAATTTTAACCGAATTTTCGCGACGAACTACTTCCATAATTTCATGAACACGAACGCTTTCGCGAGAAACTCATGACGTTATATTGGACATAGTTCGACGAAAGCATGGATGCAACTTTTAGCCTGCGTTCAAATTCATGACGTCACAGATGAACTATGGTTCGTCCTTGGATGAACAACATTCGTCGCGAAAATTCGGTTTTGTTTCATTTGCACTAAATGGATTCAAATTACTCTAAAGTATTCCATCTGCATTTCAAATTCTATTTGAATTCCTTCTATTGTTCGAGTTACTCGGGCGAGACCCCACGGGCGTAATTGACGTAAGCGTAACTACGCACTTACGCTGTCACTACGGCAAAAAGTTGGGTTTTCTTGAACTTTTCGGCGTAATTGTGGCGAAGTTGTGACGTTTGGTTTTGTTTCTTCTGATATATGAGGTGGGTTCGGCTTGGGCGTATTAGGGGTGACTCCATTAGCGTTCCACTATATGGAGTGGAGTAAATGGAGCTACTCCAAAAGTTCCACCTCGGAAAGGGAATTTTTCAGACTAAGCAGACGCAGAGGTGAAATGTGGAAACTGTCAAGCTGTGTTGTCACGTGTGGTTGTTGTTAAAAAAATTAAAAATCGTTTATGTGTGGATGCGGGAATTGGTAAAATCATCGAGTAAAATAATTGATCTGATTTTAAAATTTATTTAATATGATGGGAAAATTTCCTTGACAAAGGTAAACAGACGCAAAAGTATCATATTATTAATTATTGTGGAGGGATTGAAGTTAATTTATGGTACACGAAAGACCAAAGACAAAAGGGGGAAAAAAATGGAAACCCGGAACGATGTAAAGTCACAGTTGACTGTAGTTTTGGAACAAACATATCATTCGTGTATTAATTTTTCACTCTAATCACTCCTAGATCACCTGACATAAATCTGTTTTTACTCCACTCCAACTCCGTGCTGAATAGCCGAACCCCGCTATTATAGAACAATCACAGAAAACTACAAAAAACCAAAGGAAAAGGACTACAACAACAAATTAGTGAATTCTAATTACAACCTGGCAAAAAATAAACAAGATATTTGGGTTAGAAAATGTTTTTGATTTGGTTTTGATGCAC